AAAATATCAGCACACATGGTAAGCTCTGCAGACTCTCACAGATAAGCCGTTTGTCAGCTCCACATCGTGAGAACGTGTGGAAATCACACATGTATTCCTGGAATTCTCACATTTACCCGCAATCACACTTACAAATTAGAAAAGAAACGTGCCGTTTCTCTTTCTCACCTTACGTAGCCCACATTACTGATAGAAAAACACTGATAGTATAAACATTTCTGATAAAAAATAAACAATAAAGGCTGTTCATATACAATTAAGCTTGGATGATAAGGTAAAACGATTATTGTCTGCAGAACTAGAATGACAAATGACAGTGATCCAAAATTCTGTTACAAAGTACCACATATAAGCATTACAGGACCTCACACTACAGCTTGCATTTTTCCTAACGACAACATATTACTTAATTAGACAGCATGTAACACTGTTAACATCCATCTGCCTGTGTTAGGCTGGTCGGAAACCAAAACATTACCAAGCTGACACCCTTGTACTAGACAAGCTTGTCCATTTTACTCTGTACCGCAGAGGAACCCATGTTCCAGAGTTCCTTTGTTTCATTTGTTCATTCCTCAGCATTCTTTGCCTGACTGAAAATCCACATTACAATCTTTCCAAGTGGCAATTAAAAATATGTATATGCGTAGTTACCAGCTGGTGATGTTGGAAGAATGACAATTTACATCATTTTAGGACTTATTTAAGTTCTTGCTATGCACAATATCAACCCAGGGCTGTATAGAATATAACGTAATAAACAAAAAGATCAAATAAAAATATATTTTAGTTATTTGGTTCAGTTTTTAATCTCTATCTATTAGGTGATACAGACGTAATGACTGTGCGATGTGCAGGTGCCTAGAGATTCCCAGACATAACAGACAGACAAATTCAACACCCAATAAACAGAAACAACACTAGCTATATTCAGTGCATTAGTTATACAGAAAATGGCTGCTTTTGGAAAAGTTGCTGCCCTCCGTTGGGATGCATCGGGGTCAAATATGAATCTGTCATTCCAACAGAACACTCAATGAACATCCCATCCATTAACCTACATATAACTCTGGCTCAGTGTAAATACAGTTTAACTCCAGGCCATCCCTGTAGATGTAGACATCTGCCTGGTAAACAACACTAATACACTGGCACAGTTTTAGGCCCAGGATCCAACACCACCAACACCAACATTTCCAATTTGAGTTGTTTTCCGTGAGGTACACGACCCATCGGCAGTGGATGAGTAGTAACCACTTCCTGAGCCAAATCAGCCCTTATGTAACACACAAACTCGTATGTTTGTAAGGAGACAGATTACATTCTGAGCTCCTGTGTAAGTCTTGTACAGTCTGAGGCCAAACTCATTTCCATAAGTCCACAGAACTAGGACAACATGAGGCAATGTGGATAAGTCAGAACATCAGTTTAGGCATTTATTGGCCAGGATGGGGTCAGCTGATCTTTAACTCAAACAGACAGCTGTTTTATCTTTACGTGGGCCGTTTTGCGCTGCAATTTTATGAGGTAAAGTATATGAGCTAGCCTATAACTTGTCAAAAATATCAGATGTTTGGAAATATTAAGTGTGTAAAGAGGACATCAAGAATGCACTCTGGACTTCAGTGCAAGCCCATTCATGCATTTGTAGCCATAGCCACCACCTATGTGTTTCATATTCTTTAGAGCTGGCCTGAATAGCATTTTACAGACTTCAAATATATATGTGTAAGTAAAGCACCATTTTTCAAAAAAAAAGTGAATAATTCAATCGTATGTAAAACAGTACAATAACAGTCATGCAGAGTTTTTACATCTTAACTCAAGTTTCTTTACAATGGAAGGGATTTTATTTACAATCCTAAACCACCAGTTATCCTACACGTGTCTTCTGAGTTCTTATAATGGTAAAATAGTGATAAATTTAAGTAATATGATTTCTTTGGGTACTATTTTGCCTCTCAATGCCCTATTTTACTGCTCCATCACAAAGGGATTTAAAAAAACATACATTTTAAGCTAAAAGCTTCTCTTAAAACTACGGTAAAACTATCTCTCAGACATCAAGCAGAACATTCTTAACTATTTCAAGTAATAACTTTCTGTGAGGTTATTAACAATCAGAATCAAAATCTGATTTATTGGCCAGGTACGATGACACACACAAAGAATTTGGTTCCAGCTGTTGATGTCTCTCTAGTATTAAATGCAAGGCAGTAATTTTGAAATATTAGTGAAATTCCCCTTTAAATTCCATAGAGAATCTAGTCAAATCACACACTCCCACTTTATATGCAGTCTAAACTACAATTAAAATAATAATTTACAAAAATTGATGATCTTGTAGGTGTGGTAGCTTAGCTTCAACAGCTATGTAGAAAGCAGTGCAGTTCGTGGTGCTCTGAGGCAAGGTGATGTGGATTTCTGGAATGAATTTATGAAGCATTCAAATAAACCAGCTACAATTTATTTATTTTATACATATTTTTTACATATTCCATATATTAATTTTTGGGATGCATCACTGGCTCTTCTGATGTATAAAAGCAACTTTAGCCATACTGCTATGTTGTATAGCAGGGCATTTGGGGTAATGTAGTTTTACCATAACAAAAAGGTCCCTATAGCTCTGTCTTGGCTGTGGGAGTACCAACTGAGTGTGAGCTCATGGCAAAGCATAAAAACAAGAAAAAAAGTCAAGTGGATGTTTGAAAGAATGGCTGCCACAGAAGATTCTTGCAATCAAGTGCTACATTGGCAAAATAATACAAAAAACACAAGAGAAAGTGAAGCAGAGCATGAGGAAATGTGGGGCTGCTTCATGAGCGGGAGTGCTTGTCTGCAGACAACGAAACAACACATGTCTGCAACAACTGTCACCAGCTGACGTACACGCACGTGAATGCACACATGCTGTATTCTTGATGTTACAAAAGCTACAAAGTCTGAGCTACTTCAAATTCATGTTTGAACTCTGTGGGTTTTGCATACTCACACAATATTACCATTAAATCACAATTCACAAGCACAATTACACCACAAAGTGATACACAGAATCTACTTTTTAAATAAAATATGTCTATAATTTCCACTTTAATAAGATACATCAAAGGAACACTGTTTTGTCTTTCAGTTTATGGTAACATTTTACTTGAACACTGACATAACCATGCCATAACCACATCGTGGCAGATGTCATATGCTTATTAATTGTCATGATATATGTCATAATGTCTGATGTCATGATGGTTTACTAGAGTATACTTAGAGAAAAGTAGAATGTAAACTGTCATGATATCAAACATTATGGAATGTGTCATGACAATTACCAGTAATGGTAACAAAACTGTTATATAACTGTACATTATGGCATCTTCCTTAATATGTTTATGGGATGTTTATGTGAATGTTATGTAGCAGGATTGAAGTAAAGTGTTACCCAGTTTACTTACTTTTGGCAATAACTGTTGTAATGCAACATATCTAATTCATGTGGAAATTATGTACACAATTGAATTAAGTAAATTTAGTGTATGTTTTTCTTCTCCTCAGTGTGTCACTTTGTAGTCTTCCTGTGAATTCTGACTATTTTCAACCAAAAGACTGTTTTGTGGTATAGCATAATACAAAAAACTCTCTGACAGAAGACGACACAAATTCCAGATTCCAGAATGTAAAAAGAAGAGAGCAGAAACAGAAGGAGGATATTCTGATGTCTCAATTTTTCCATCAGCACAGAAACAGATTTCTTTTGTATTCTACATGAACAACAACTTGCTTCTCACACAGATTGTTTTGTGTACAATGTCAGGACCTGGATCATACATGCGTGTATACCTTGTGTATTATACATACATTACCATTCAAAAGTCTGGAATCATTGTTTTCAATAATATAAAACCAATTATATACATGCATAAAATTAATAAGGTACATGCATAAAATGATTCTATTGTGAGGCTATGTTTCCATTTACTACAACTACTTTGCAGGGAGCTGTAAAAATGAAGAAATGTTGAATGTGCCAGAATAATGAAAGCCATACAGCAAAGAGAAAAAAGTAATAAGAAAATTAACATCTAGAATGCTTTGTATTTGAAAAGTGGCAAGCAAAACTTGACGCTAACAAAATTATTGAAAATAAATAATTATAGTATATACTTTAGCATTTAATAAGTCATTGCAGTTTCCAACAAATATGTAAATATAAACTAAAACATCTTAAAATACCTCCTGGTGTCTAGCTTACTGTATTTTAATCTACAATGGATATTTATTATTGATCAAAACAACAGCAATTTTGATATGACAACTGATTCCAAACTTTTGAATGGTAGTGCATTTAGTGTCTGTGTTTAACAATCATATGTCCCTTTTGTATCATATATCATCGCTGATGGGGCAAAACCTTTTCATCTTCAAAATAAGAATAAAACAGTCTTCTCAACTTTGCATAATTTTTTTCCCAGCAATTTTGGATTGTTTCTATTGGTTCATTCATCATGAAATTTGATCAAAATCTGTTTTAAAAAAAACACAACTGAACATACAAGGTTTTGTCCTGACAGCTATGATATGTAAATAGCTCCATGCACCTTTATGTAATAAATTTCAGAACATTAATTCTCCGTTTTTGTCATTTTCACAGAATTTTTACAGAAATTTTTTTGAAATTGTTTTCTACTAACATTTTTCTATGAGCTTTTATTCAAATTTAAGAAAGTTTTTCCCGTCTCCTGTAAAGTTACTGTTTTAGCGGCACTAGGTTTTGTTGTGACAGTGACAATATGTTGTGACAGCCAAACCCTGAACTAAACGCTGTCAGTTTAAAACAAATAAAACATGGAAGTTTTGCTTTTGTTTTTAAAAAAGCACTTTACAAAGTCAGGAGTATTTATATGTCCTGATACTGTTGGATGCTTTTCTCTGATCCTCCAACAAAGTCAGAACATTTTTGTCTTTGAAATGTACGAAACATGCATGCACACACACAGTCTTACCTTTCAAGCAGAACATGGCTCTTGCTTTTTGTGTAATGAAGACATGAGAGTGGCCGGCGGTCACTTCACTGCCGCTCCTGACACACACGCACAGGCCTGGACACGGGGAACACATGTGACACACACACACACTTCTCTCTCTGCTCTGTCTCACCGATTCACTTCAGTCTGCCCCCTTTTTCGCTCACTCTCTCCAACTCACTCACCACAGACACTCCCCCTAGTCTCCTCTCTCTCTCCCTCTCCCTCTCTCTCTCTCTCTCTCTCTCTTTCACTCCCTCTCTCTCTACTCACACACACATTCACACATTCTGACACACAGCATGGCATCCCGCCCTTCCATGAACCACAGGAAAATACTCTGTGCTGCCCCTCCTCTTTCGTTCTAACCAGAGCAGGGATGAAACTCTTATCCTTTTATCACTCAGACAAAGCGCTCGTGTCAAACACATACACATGGTGGGTGTGTGGCTGCGGGACATTTGGAACAGTCAGCAGTTCCAGTACAGGGGGTCCAGCTTACCCCTGCCAATAGCACTGTGATAGAGCATAATCATTTAATCCCACACGCTGGCAAACCCAACAGCAGCAGTACAAGAACTTGGACTGCACAATATATTGTTTATTACATGTTACCACAATACTGGCCTTCAATTCTGATACTGCAAAAAGTTATACTACCGCAGTAAGTCCTCTAACAAATCAATAAATGTTAATTCTCCGCCGTAAGCTTCACAATGTCAGATGTTCTGTTGGTGTTTTGATAAATCAAGGTATTCTATAATCCAGCAATTAGGTATGCACTAAAACAGGGAGTGTGGGCCAACGGCAATAGCTAGCTAGTTTATAGTCACATATAAATTTCCAATTTCTGATCTGATCTGTTCACACTCACTGGCGTCATGAACGTACACGAGGCGCCGTTTTAAACTTTCAGAAAGCTCAAAAAGTTTAAAAGCGCTCAAAAATAAAACAGCATTGTTAAAACGTTATATGCTATTCAGTGTTCAGGTAATAAATGTATTCTCTTATATTAAACATGTTTAAGTATTTATAAACTATGATTTTGCCCAAACGCTTCATCTTAACTCATTCATTTTGGACTTGCTCAGGAGCGCCATCTAGTGTTTGAGAAACCCGGAAGACATTACAAAATGTGATTCTCCTCTCTACAACTTCTCTGATTGTACTCCATCAATGTAGCTGATAATCATAGCGACACCAAATGAACCTGCCGTGACGTGAAGGAGACAAATTTTGTTCAGAAGTTGATGACAGTGAGACAAAAGACAGCTGAAACAATAGGAGAGTTTGGGAAACACTACATCAGAATTCAGACGAGGAGGCGGTTCTGGTTGCTCAAAAAAGGCGACACAAGAGTCTACACTAACCTTGTAGCTAACATTAGCACGTGTTTAGCAATTCTCTCCGACCAATCAGCAGTCTGTAGCGTTTTTATATCACCTTTTGGTATTGGCTCAGCTCACTTGGAACCACAACAGAAGTGGTACCAAAAATAGTACACGGTACCAGGTACCAGATTTGCTTAGTGGAAAACCAAAAAAGGCTAGCAGAGTCGAGTCGAGCCGGTACCATACAGTGGAAAAGCGGCTTAAAATAAAGCAGGCCAATCTTTAGCCTACCCATTTTCTATCAGTGATTCACTAATGTGCTTTTAACATAATGCAAGGCATATCACAGTTGCAGTATCACATGTAGCAATGTAATCACAATGTGATATTTTGCAGATGTATCAGGGACTACAACTACTGCAACAGTTTTCTACTGAGTGCCACAGACCCAGGAAACTTCATGAGTAGACGGTCAGACACATTTTAGCAGACATTTACATGTGTGAAAGGTATTGGATCTAGCTTTGATAGTTTTTGATCACCAGTTGTCTCTTAAACGTTTTCTACCATCATATTCTGAACCTCAGACTCAATGAGCTAACATGCTAAGAAGAAATGTGTTGGGGTGAACTCAACATAAACTGTGAATCAGTCAGCATGGAAACAATGTGCTTGCCATGAGGCCTGAACCTATGAGGGTCATTGATTTCCAATAGGGGGAGTCAAATGGCCTGAACAGAGAATGGCCAAAACTTGCTGACATGGTCAGAGAAAAAAACCCACACCAATCAAAAAAACAGAAAACAGAGCTGCCCTAAGAATGAGTTAGCTTCTGAAGTTGAAACCCACTTTGTTCTTCAACTAAGACATGTAATAAAGCACTAAAGCATAGAAACTTTGTAAAGATAGCATCCTCTTGCTAATGACTGCTGCTTATGGGGGAAGAGTGTGGTGGCAGAATATAGCACCGGTGACATGGAGGGAAACCCAGCCTAGGAGGAGGAGACCACCTCAGGGTCTTATTCAAAGAAAAAAATCAATGTTTGCAACGTTTGCTAAAAGCCCCACCACTCCATTAAACACAGTCATACCAGAATCTGTCTGAGTGGAACACAGGTCTATAGCATGTGTGTTGTCTTTGGATGCATGAAAGTGTAAATGTGTAAACATGAATGTGAGAAAAAGAGAAAGAGTGTGTGGGCATACATGCACATGTCTTGCCTGTGTTTGTGAGTGAGGATGTATACTAGGGGTGTAAAAATAAACAGGGGGAATCAGAGGATAAAATTTCAAAATGCGACTGCACACATCCTTATCATGCCGAAACAAAGTTTTCTTCAAGATGGGTGCTGAAAACTACAAGTGCTTGTGGAAAGTGAAAAGGTTGCAGGAGACGCTTGATAAATGTCAGAAGTGTGATGTGGCTCTATACTGCTAGACAGCAATGCATATTACCAGTTAGAGCACAACTAAAAACACCATCAGACAACACTGAGAACAATGGTCACAGATCTATAAATAAACACAGTAGAGACTTCAAATGACTTTTACAAGTTCATTAACAGGTTCACTCTTCAGATTGTTCATTCAAATTGTTTAGTTCTGACTGTTATTTAATGTTTGTGGTTTAAGATTTGTTGAGTTTTTGTTAAATCAGACAATATAAAATTTTGGTAGACTGTGACCTATATCACAATTTTAGAGTTTAAAATAATAACATGTGTCCAGGTGCCACTTTAAGGCTTAGTCCATAAATGGTTCAAAATTACAATAAAAAAACTATGAATATAGTGGTCCCAAGCTGCACTGCACTAAATCCACCTGAACAGGACTAATTATGCTCTCCTTATAATCAAACATGCAATTGTTTGGTGTTCTACTGATTATATCCATGATATAAAAGTAATGGGGTAATTTATGAAGATAATACAATTGTCATATTGCTCACCCCTACGTTGGTGTGTTGTGTACATATTTTTGTATATATTCCATCATTGTGTGGCCTCAATAGCTAGTGCAGTCCCATCTGTCAAATCAGTGTATTTTTGAAAAATAATTCTGAATCACTTGAAAATAATCTCATTGAATCTAACTGTTGTGAAATCTAAGATTTCATGATACACTGAATCATTTCTTTGGAATCGTAAATGAATCATGAAGTTGAAGATTCACACCCCTTGTGCCGACACATGTGTAACCTTAATTCACCATTATGGTGGTTATGACTTCATGATGGTGGTGCCAGCAGCAGATGATATCAATTACACACCGATTAGCAGGCATGTGGTACGTGTGTGACTCCATATGTGAGTGGTATAGAATATATGGGTGCTTTAGCCAGAATAACCAGTTTTCTGCCTCAGTGAGAATAAAAATAAAGGAAGCTTCCTGAAAACACGACCTTCAGAATAAGTGTAATGACTAATGATTGAATCCACAACAAAAATATCACAAAGTAAACAAAATCTGCCGTCTGACATGAGAAGACAAGGACCGAAGACTGACGCCAAATAAACAACAGCACAATGTGTTACTTCAGCAGACAGAATGCTGCTAGATGGCTGCAGCTTGTTTCACTTTGGAAAGACACAAAGATAAAACACACAACCTGTACTGTTTGGATCTATGTCTTGGATTCGTAATCAGATATTACGCATCTGCATGCAGAAACAAGCCACAGATGACAACTCATCAGAGCTGACCTCGGTGTAGCTATGATGTTGGGAAACAATGTGGTGATGTTGTCTGTATGTAAACTCTGATATTTATTACAAAGCCATTCTCTCTCTTTTATGTCAGCCTATTCCTGGATTAGTGAGTCTTAATGCTCTTACAATAAGCGGATGCCACTCAATATAGACAGAATTATAGAGAGAAGTACCCATTACATAAGGCCTCACTATCGTGCCTGAAATCAGCATTTTAGATTTGGCCTCTTATTTCTGTACTTTGGGACCGTCATTGTGTAATCTCCTAAAACTCATATCATAATAGAACATCTGGGATTACTCTGTGATGTTAGAGGTTAACTTACCTGAGAAGGATCCAAACATTGACCACAGCAACAGGACATGGGAAAATGAGAGAGAGAGAGAGAGAGAGAGAGAGAGAGAGAGAGAGAGAGAGAGAGAGAGAGAGAGAGAGAGAGACGTTACAAACAGAATCAGCTTAGCAGCCAAAATATAATACAGACAAGCAAACAATGGCCTCATGCACTTTTAAAAGTTCTACAAAGTCCATATCAAATACAATCAACTACGGTTATGGCTACAAGTAAAATAAACATCACAAATAAAAAAAGGTCCAAATTATGGGTGTAAATCTTAAAATGGTTCCTCTGGTTTCTTCAGAAAGTCTCTCGATTGCCATATTTTGTGGAAAGTACTGTGAACGATGAAAACTAGGCATCTAGGTGAATTTCTAAAATCTAGGGGTTGTAATTTTTGAGGCTTATTTTGTTGTAGAGCTGGCACAGCAGGTATTGAAAAAGTTCTACTGGAGAACTTTTATTTATCGGAACCAAACTGAACTACATAATTAGAGCTCAGTATAATGACATTAGCACACAAAATACTGAAAAACAAAATGAATTTTGACATCAGAATTGGAAATTACTGTATCGAATTTTGTGTATCGTTACACCCTCTAGTGCATACTTTACTGAATTCTAATATAATCGATTATAATCAGCTCTAACATTCCAACAGAATCACCACCTTTAGATAAATGCATACAGAAACATTGGGGTATTTTACAAACATAACACGCTGAGATAAGGATACTGTGCATGTATATTCTTTGTTCACCAGGGTACAAACAATGTAAATGTACCCTCAAAGATATAACAATGGTCTAACCAATAAATGTCCAATTGTGTACCTTAAATGAGCTTTAAAAGGTACTCTACATCTCACTTTCCGAGGGAAAACGTGCATCCACAGTTGTACCAGGGTGTATGGAGTCAGTGTAACTCAAATCACATAACTGCAAAGAAATATGGTACAATTATATTTCCTAACTTACTAAAGATATATCCTTAAGGGTACCACCCCAGTGACAGTTTCTTCTGTTTCTTTTTTAGAGTGTGTATTAAATATTAGTCTATGCAATATGAGAACAAACACAGGGTTTTATCCATCACAGACATGTTAACCATGGTGATGACCATTTCTACTTCAATGTAACAAGCTAAAAGCGTTAAAACAGGTATTACACGTAAATTATACGTAGTTCTACAGTGGGGCACAGTACTTGGGTCAAATAATTTGTAGGTCTAGACACGGCAGTTCAATCCAAACTGCTCAGCCCTCTGGCCATGTTGTCTCAACATTGCAGTGGCCAGTACAGCCAGATTATAATTTGCTAATCTGGAATTACAGGAGCACTGGGCGACAGCCATGACTGTACTTGACTGGATGTGATAAAGACAGATGGAGACAGTTACGCAACTGTGAGTCAGTGAGGACCAGATGCAAACAGTTCATGTCATTTATCAATGATTTAAAAGGAGTGTTCTTTAGAAGTTAAAGATGCTTCCATGTAAGTTTATGTTTCACTGGAGTTAATACACATTCATTAGCATGGTTTTCAGTGATTACTAATATCTAGGCTTAATATTTCTCATCTACCAAAGTAGATAAACCAGCTCAGAGTCGACAGGTTTTGATAAGTCTGGAAATATGGGTCAGTGCTTGCTCAGACACGAATGCTTGTAAATGTTACTGTAAACCAAATCATCAGGCACGCAAACGTCAGAGTTTTAACCAGACAAACGTTGTCACTCTACATCCAGACACATACCCTAAGGAGTAAAAGAACAGAAATTAGCTCATAAAGGAGAACAGAAGTGGGTGATATATAAAAATATCTTCAGTGGAAATATTATTCACTGATAAATCAAAATATATAATTATTATAATTGATCTGAACCTGGGAATTACAGTCAAATATTATAATTGATAATTCAGTGCCCTATTTATAGTAGGGCACTAAATTACTCATAGCCAAGCCCAATCTGTGAACCGTGATTTGTCTCGAACATGGCGGACCACGTCATACTGAGAGGATTGTGCTGGCATGCCCAACATTATGAGCAATGTTTTTCATATCTGTTAATGTAACACACACTCAGGGTCCTGTGTCACCGTGTGTAAAATATACATTTTGGGAATGGAAGTATATTAGGTAATCTTTGCTGTTTAAGCTGCTAGCAGTATCCATTAAAGGTCCAACTAAGTGAGCTTTGGAGCTGTTTAAATCAGTGTTTATTAACGCTGCTTCTGGCCACCTACAGCTTCAAGTAGTTTCAACTATTCCTTGCCTTCTAACACCTGATCCAGCTGATGAACTTATTACCGAACCGTTCATGATCTGATCAGGTGAATTGGGTCAGGAAATCGTTGAACCTGTGGTGCAGTGGATTGACGGAAATAACGTAGCACTGGCATAAACACAGTGAAGACTGGAAAATACCACTGATTACTGCCAGCTATGAGTTACTGCTGCCGTGAGACAGCTGATAGACAGTCATGTTTAATCACTACAAAGGGAATAAAGTCAACATGTCATGGCTGGCCGTCACATTCTGGGGGTTACAAAGGCTTACTACAAAGCCAAAGGCTGTCTTTACTAAAGAACCCTTGAAAATCCATCTTATTTTAAGACTGTAGCAACTACAAACTCTAAAGGTGATACAGCTACCTTCATTCATAAACAACTGTGTTTATGTTCTTGAGTGGGCAAAATAACAGTAATGTAGTTTGACATAGGTTGACACTGAACCCATAAATGTATGTTATATTAAAACCGCAAAAGGATAGCGAAAATAATGTCAGACATGCTAGAATAACACTGCACCACACTATGCTACATTTATGGATTACAATGTGAACTTGTTTTTAAATTCAACAAAAAATACATAATTAGTATTAACCACAACAAGGTGTTGTCAGTCCAAAAATACTATGCCCATGTAGGATCATCCCTACTGGGGAATATAATAAACAACCCTTATGGTCTGCCTAAGAATTTTTCTGCGTAGGACAGTTTGCTGACTGACCAAGGAGGCACTATGACCAGGATGGTCAGTTAAACGCTGATGGAAGTGGACTGAATTGTTTTCACCATCTCTTCGCCTGCTCAAGATCTCTAAATCAATCCCGACGAGGGTTGGGACAGCCACCTTAAAGCTCAGCATATCGCTATAGTGACTGGCAAAAACATCCTGTCGCTCAGCAACCAGCTCTCTGAAATTATGGGTCTACCGCAAGGGCCTGACAGCCCATAATTACCAGCTCTATTTAAAACGACAGGGCAGGAGTCAGATTTAGGGCACTTTAACTAGGCTTGTATGTACTCTTAGAGGTGCCAAGAGTATAAATACATGCTTTAAATTTAGTAATATGTGCAGCAATGAGTAGCAGGATTATATGTATTTTAAATGTAGGGGATTTTGAGAGGATTTCCTGCCCTGCTTCCTCCTCTGGAAATCCCTCACTCTTCCTGCTGCAGCTGTGCTCCATGTTCTGTGTCACTGCACTGTCCTGTGAGGGTACAGTCTTTTTTTCCATTTAGGACATAACAGGAAAACCTACCCCATTTCCATTTCTAAATTCAACTCATATAATTTGTCTTAACTACAGAATTATTCTGGTTTAGAAAAACAAAATCTATGTCTTTTTGATGTGCCTTCATATTTGCTGAATAAGTCTTAGATTTTGATTACTCAGTTTTCACTGTGATTTTAGACTTTATAAGAGCACAGAGTCATTGTGTTTTACACTGTGCAATCTTCACCAGCATAAAATAACTGATCAGAATTTCCCAAGAAGAAAAGAGACCAGACACTGACTCCAAAGACTGACCTCCAAAGTTCAGTCTTAGAGGTTGGTGAGTCGAGAGGTCGGTTATGTTGGGTTAAGGGACTGTGACTTGTGGAGAGTAAAAGATAGAAATGCAGTTTAATTGAAAATTTGATGTGTTCATAAAACTGTGACACCATGACCCTACGCTTCACAGCTGCACATCTTTTCACCCTTCTCAAGTACCTGGATTATCTTATATCTAACCTCCTCAGTAATATCTCCTGAAAAATAAGTAACTTGTACAACTTTTACTAAATATATACATACAGGAGGATATTATTTTCTGATGAAATTTGAGTGGACTACTCTGAAAAATATTCCCTCAACTGGTGTTTTGATGATGTTGGCGGAGAACATGTCTGTCCAAAATCTCTGTGTTCAAATCTGTGTTAAACCATGATATTGAGATCTGGTGATTGGGAAGGCGACAGCATATGATTTACATCAATTTTCTCACTGCGCAGCAAAACAAATAAAGGCAGTGGGGAGTGAGCAGTGTAGAGCAGTTTCTGATGTGCTTCATGGACAGACAATCACAGCATGGCCCTGACATGAGAGAGCTGCTGAGCCTTTACCAAAGAGATATATCAAAGCTAGGCACTGCTGTTGGGTGCTTCATTTTGTTGCTGTCTTTTGTTGCCTACTGTATTTTGTATTACATTGGAGCACTATCGTAAAAATAAAAACATTTGATCGTAAAAAGAAAAAAAAAACACTGTTCATTCAACACAGCATAACATGATGGAAGTGTTGTATGTAGAGGAAATAAGATTTAAGCCACAATTTGGCAAGATTCCCCAGTCTAAGAAAAGTCTGCAATTCAGTCATAACTCATCCCTCATAGGTTTTCCCTTTGCTTGAGATGTAGATGCTGTAAATCAATCTGGCAGCCGCAAAAAAGTTTTTTTTTCTGCCATTTAATTTGCTCTTCTCAATTAATAACATGATTTTTTCACAGCTGTTATGTTTGATATGTAAAAAACATGATCTAACAAAGTCACAAATTTGTGAATTTTTATTTCGTTTGTCTCATAAACTACTTAAGAAAACACGTGAATAGAATTATGTCACATTTCGGTTGATGTCTTTCGTTACTTAAATTCAGTCAATAAAAAGCTCTTACCGATCCGAACTGCACTCTGAACAAGTTTGCATGTTTTTAGGAAAAAATTATAGTACATCCAACAATAAAGAAGCCTCATGCATCTTTTGTATGGTGATAAAAACATAGTAACACACAGAAAGCTCTTACTCTACATGCGGATACAATTTACTAAGGCCAGTGTAGGCATGCATGCTCTAACCCCTCCGGTGGCACATTTGAACAAGTTTGAGGGGGCATCGCCAAATTCTCAGAATGGATCTTCAGCGAGATGTTCGGTTCAGCAGTGTTCATTAGACGGACTGACCGGCTCATGAGAGCACTATAATACAAACGAAGCAGATCTGAGTTTAAGGGGACATAAATATGGCTGCTGGAGTGGAAATTTTGAGTACAGAAAGTTTTAGATATGTGGTCAGCTGGTTAACTCAACAAGCTTTCTACAAGAAAACGGGAGCAATGAACATAACTGACCTATGTATCAAATGTATTAAGTAAACTGTAACCCTGCACCGCTAACAACCTCCAAAGTTCAACACCTCCGATTCCCCAAATGCCAAAACAGCAGCTGCAGTGAAGAGGCTGTTGAGGTGAGGGGTGAAGTGTGAGAGGCCAGGGGTGAAGAGCTATTATAAATCAGAGAACACTTAGATTACCCCATACAGCTCAAACTGGGTCACTGCCCTGCCTGCACAGTGACTCAATGAGCCCTGCACAAGCTCTCATTACAGAAGCATAGAGTTACTGCTGCAGCCCAAAACCATTCACATGCATACACGCATGCATGTGTGCTAAAGGATAATTGTAAGTACAGCCACACACAAACATAGGGTATTATACAAAGATATGGATGTAAGGTCACACACATGTTCTATAGGTATTACACAGTGCATATGATGTATGATATATGTGAGTAGCTCTATGTAATAAGAATTTAAACCCTAACCCTAAACAACAACAAAAAAAAAAGCTTAAGCCCTGTCAGAAAAAGAGAAGAAAGAAAGAAACGTGGGGCTTTTGTGAAATAAAAATACAAATAAATAAAATAAAAATTATAATTTACAATCTGATATAGTAGGTTAGTCCTGCTTTTCTCAGGTCTCCCGACAAAGTCTGAGCATTTTCGTACAGAAAATATGAAACACATACAGAGAAACACTAAGACAGCTGTTTAAGCATGGCAGAAACAGAGGAGTGGAATATATGTCCTCATACACAGATGACACAAGGCATTTACTTTACAAAAGCAAACAATGAGTCTCTGATTATTCAGGCTAATGTAGCCAGAGTGGCACTAAGAAATGGGCAATGAGCCTGATGGGTTTTTCCATCTATTACATTACAACTGGATTGAGTTACAACCAGAGCCTGGACAGAGCATGCACTTAAAACAATCTTTAATTTACACACACTAGGGCTGTCAACTTGCATCAGATATCAAAAGAAACATTTCCTTGCTTGTTTTTATATACCTGAATTTTAAATACTTTATTTTTCTGATTTTTTGGAAATAAGCAGAGTATAGCAAAAGAGCTATCAAAAAGTCTCAGTGAGAATGACTCTTCCATAAAATCCCCCTGCGAATGATTTCCCAGTGTCATTAAGAGCTAAAATGTAGACTTGCCACGTGAGTGAAATCAAATTACTAGTATTATTCAATTTATATAGTAAGCAAATAATTTCTTTCAGAGCAATTGAGCGGCTAAAGAGCTGTCAAACGTGTGCACATATCCCAAAATATTTTTCAATTAAAGCCTAAATAGACTGTTGCTGTTAGAGATGCACCAACTTATGAAATGTGGACCAATGCCAATTTGTTAAATGTGCAAATACAAGAGTACATCTACCTGGATTAGCACTACAGAGTAATATTACATTACTATTTCCATAGAGATACAAATGCAGTAAAATGAATAAAATGCAGATTTTTAGCACAGCATAGATATCTGATAAAATATCTAGGTGCTGTTCCATTTATTTATTGTCAATAATGCCATGCCCCACCGTGCCTTACCACATCTGTCATGTGACGACATATAGTATTGGAAAACACTGCAGAGGTAGTGCAGAGGCAGCTTTTAACATTTAAATATTATTTTCTATAGTTCAATACACACATACACACACACACACACACACACACACACACACACAACCACACACACACACTTCATTCAGAAAATACTTAACTCAAATGAGCTTCATCATAATTCAAACTAAAAGATGGCTATTACTCACACTGCTGGTTTGAATTTCACTTTTTAACAAACCCAACTCAATCTAATGGATATTTTGCTTACCTCTTAAAGAACGAAGTGTTTACATGCCTCAAAACTGCACATAAACACAAACCTCAATGTATTCGGGCATAATGTAAATTAAATTGCAAATATGGTATTACAGCTGAGAGTGGGTACAGCTGCCTCAGAGACAGAGTATCCTCAGACACACACACACACACAGCCTGGCATGTATCCACACGCCCACATCTCCACCAGTCAGTGACATCACCCATTTCCGCAGACTCATCTTGAGGTCAATGAAAAAAAGTGAAGCAACTGATTTACAATTTAAATGTGTGCATAATTTCCAAATGAATAAAATGCATCACATCAACACAATTATTGCCAAGAGTGACTAATTAAAAGACATTGTGTTGAGGTCATATTTTATTCATGTAAATCATCAAAATCATTCAATCACATTTAAATTTAATGCATCACTTTTTCAATGCTTTTCCTCACTCTTTTCACAGTTTAGACACAGCCCCAAAGACAAACCCCTCCCCTCTCAACCCCAACCTGTTGATGAGAGACACGTGTCAACGACTCATGGACAAAGGCAAAGCTGTCATAAAATCAAGAGAGTGACCCAATTCTCTGGCCACACGTAAACAAACTCACTTCCTTACTTCCTGCTCTTAAGAGTCGTCCACAATGGCTCCAGACACAATAGAGGGGTCAGAAAGCACACACAGCTGCTGCTGGAGCAAACCCAGGCAAACCGCGAGTAACAAAACCCAGCACACGACAGAGAATGACGAGTTTAAGTGTGTCATACTACACTGAGACAGTGTTCTGCTGTGTTTCGTAGTACATATACTATGGGTCAAAAGTACAGAAGTCAGCAGTGATTTTTTTAAAAAGATATTCTAAAAGTAAGTCAACCTGCCAACAATCAGCATAACACAACATGTTTACTGGCCTTCAGTTTAATTAAATATTCAACGCTTTGATGTAATTGTATTGTACCTTATTATGTCCTACATGCTCTTTAATAACAGCCCCTTACAATCACCAGTTTTTAAACTCCTAACACCTGATTCAGGTTGAAATACTGAATTCTCTCCAACGAAAAAAACATAGCGCTGCTGTCAGAAGAAAACCTTGTATCTCCATGTTTGTTGTTTTTCAGTTTTTGACATAATTTGAAAATGCCTGTTACCTTTTACACTGTATGTAATTCATGATAAATTCATGATATTCCTGATAAATGGACTAAAAGAACTGACCCAAAATGGCTTGGAAATATGCTGGTTCCATTGACTTACATTAAAAGTAAAGTACGTTTTTTCCTTCTCCTGTAAAGTTACCATTTTGGAGATATGAGGTTTTCTTCCGACAACAGCCATATATTCTATTCCATTATTCTTTCTTGGATTATAAGTTATTTTGTTATCTGTTTTATTTTGTACATCCTTTTACATTAAAAACCCTTAACTATACTTTATCTACATTTTAGTGCCCCCCTTTATTTTAAATACAGCCATGCTATGCTTGTATGTTTTTTTTTAACAAAAAATGTCACAAATACCGTTTTTGTTGCAAGCAGAGCTGCAATGAAACTCAACAGGATAATCACCAGTACTTATCTGTGCACACAAGTCTTTACTAAGTCCTTACTTAAGACTAGTTAGCTTCAACCTATCCTTTTACTAAATCTTAAAATTATGTCTTAACTAGTAAAAATTAACTAAAGTGTAAGTGGCTTTAGCATGACGATAACATGATCACAATCTATAAGCATTTTACCATGGAAACACGACACTGCACTGACTTTCACATGGAATAAATATCCAGTATAGAAGAGAATGATACAAATGATACAAATTACAATAAAAATGATACATGATACAAATTGAACTGTATAAAAGTGAAACTGAATACTGTGTCTCAATGAACTGGAGCCATAGATGTTAGCTTCATTTTAGGGCAATGATTAGAACTGTAAATAAATTCATACTGTAATTCACACTGTAAATAAAAGCATATATCATTGTTTTGTATTTTTGCTTAGTTGACCAAAAAAGTCATGTTTTTGATGTTTGATCCTGCTTTTAGTGTAGTTTCTGTTGGTCTCCCTAACAATTACACCTGCTTAGTGGGTCGTGTAAATATTTAGTAGATACGAAGCTCAGCGAAAAGGTTTACGTGGTGCAACACATTTACACTTACGTTACAACTAGCCTACATTTGCCCTTACACACAGCCGGTAAAACCAGCCACCACGAGCAGAACTAATTACGAATCAGACAGTTGGACAGTATAGTGGCAATCTGTAAATAAAGAAATTACTGTGTGTTTTGCTTGAATTAAAGTTTTCAGATTTATTTTTACAAAGTTAGAGTGGCTTTCAAGCTTTCCTTCTTTCATCCATTACACATCATTTTTATATGTGCAATGGTCTTCCCACGCAAGGTTTGGTACTACAATCCCTCGATTTCCATACTGATGCAAATTCACTATGCTACATTAGACGGCAAACACCCAGTCTGAATCGACTGAAAAGTCAACTCCCAAAAGCTTAGCAAAAATACACATTCACACAAACATGCCATCATCCCTCACCTATGTAGTGCTGGGGCTCATACACCCAGTCATCATCATCCTCCTCCTGTCCTGGGTGGGAGAGTGTGCTCAGGTCATTGTGACTTTGGAAGAGTTTGCACGTCCGGCGTGAGAGGGACTTCCCACTCAGCCAGCTGAGGGCGCGGGACACAGGGGCGGTTTTCTCCTTCCTCTCCCTCTCTCTGCGCTTCTCTCTCCGCATCCTTCACGAATTGGGAAAGGGGAGTGGTCAACCGGGTCAGAAATGGACCGGCTTGCTAGAGCTCACAAATGCATGGTCAGCCAGCCTCAGAACAGAGAAGAACTCAAGAAGACGTTCCGGACTTTAAGTTCATGAAGAAAAGGGGACCAAAAAACATCAGCGTGCCACAAAAAGAGAAGATACATCAGCATATCAGCATAAAAAAGGAATGATTTCAAAATATATCAGCATAAGAAACACAAAAAGAGTCCAAGTTTAGGAAAGATCCAAAAGACATAAGACCCACAAAACTTCAGCTTACTGAAAGAAATTCACTCAGATCCTGAAAAACTGTTCTTCAAAATAATCCAAAAAGCTTGATTTCTCCATGTTGTGTCTACAGAAAAGCCATATCCTTCTAAAACAAGAGAACCTGTACTGATGTCTCTCCTATTTCCAGTCTCTTGTGAGTGGAATAAAATCCCAAGAAAAGTAAGAAACCCAAAAGACGCAATTAGCCAAAGCAGCAGACTGGAAAAAAAGCAAAAAAAAATGCTGATCTTTCTTCCACTGCTGTCTTCACTCCACTGGGACTAAACTCCCATTCTCCAAACCTGTGATTTGGGTGAAGTATCCCAAAGTCGACCAACTCTTGGTCTGAAATAAAAGGTTGTGCACGTGTCTGACCACGAAGTTGCTTTTCTGAGCAGTCAAATCCTCAAAGCCCTGAAGGCCACCATACCACACCTCTCCATGTGTCAGAGCGTGTGTGTATGTGTCACCTGGATGAAGACGTCACGTTGAAATGAGCAGAATTCCCAGATGAATGAAGACGGCAGTTCAGTTCTGTCAGTTTCTTCTTACTCAGAGCAGAAGGAGCAGGTGCACTCACCATAGACACTCGTCTAGGTTTTCAAGCTTGTCGTGTGAGTGTGCGTGTTGTGTGAGAGTTGCTCACCTGACGCTGGTATAAACACACACACTTGTCTGCAGTTCATCTTCCCTGTTCGTCTGAGAGCGATCGTACTGAGCGTTCTACTTCGACAGCATGCTGGACGACTATGAGTTTTGGATTACAAACAGCCCTGAAAGTGCTACTGAAATACGAACCTAACGCCAACCCCCAACTCCACGCTCTCTGATGTTCTCCTCTCTCTGATCTTTGCCCCTCCCTGGCGGCGGCATGGCAACGGACTCTGTACACCTCCTCCTTTACTTGTGCTTCCTCTTTCCACTTCTCCGCCCAGGTGACTACCCACAGCCTTGACCAGGCTAGAACGTGTGATCTTGTGGTTGAGCTACAATTCAGGCCCTTTACAGCCAAGCTACTGAACACATTCATTCCAGATGGAACATATATAAACATGGGGCTGAACCAATTATTCAACTTGAATACTTTAGGTTAATTGTGGATTTAAATTTACAGGTCCTACTTAAGATAAGAAACACCACTTATATGCATTTTTTGGCAAGTTAGATTTTAGTCTTAGATTTAGTCTTTTAAAAGGCTTCCTTGTATAATTAACCCATTTTAGTGTTCACTTTGAGTTTCCTAAACGGATCTTGACTTGGTCATACATTTCTGAGAAAAATCTTTTAATTGGAATAGAACCTTTACATCACATGAAGGTTCTTTAAACTTTAAAGAGTAACTACACCCTACTATTTTCAGCTAACTCCACCCCTGGCTCAACTTTGAAAAGTGCTCAAAAATGGGAGGGGCACACTGGGAGGGTCACTGCAGTGATGTTTGGGTTTGGAGGTGGGGCTGGAAGGGAAACTGGCGGGGCTGGGCTGCAGTGTTTTTATGGCTTACGTTAGCTACCAGAAAATATAGAGAGTGACCGAATCAAACAGCACTTGTGCAACTTTGTACTGACCGCGATAAAAATGCTATCTTTACAGTTTGGAAAGATGTGTTCACATTTCAAGCAAAGCTGGTATATTTTATTATTACAGAATAATTTATTTCAGCTGTTAATGAAAAAAATAGGTCTTAGGGTGCAGTTACTCTTTAAAAAGGCTCTTCGCACAGTCTCATTTATAAAAACTGGTTCCTTCAAGAAACAACGATGGAAAGGTTCTTAAAGGAAAATCAAATGTGGTTCTACTGCAGAACTGCTCCAAAAAAAACCTTTTAGACACATTTATTTTTAAGAATGTTTGGTCTACTTTCAAACTGAATATCTTGATTAATTGATGTGACTCAATAACTGATATTATTAATACTGGCCTACATACATGCGCATAATATACACTTGCACACTTTAAAACCACATTAAGGAGGTTACCTAGAATTAGATAAAGTGTAAAGACGCACCTTATTCAAGCACACGTTTATGAACTCACACTGTTGTTTAAAGGTGGGGTAATGGATTCTGGAAGACGTTAGCTGCAGTTAGCTGTTTTGAAAGTCAACAGGCAAATACAAGTCATCACTTCAGTGTCCCCTCCATGCATTTGCATTGCCTAGGCTAGAAGGCCTGACTGCTGAACAAATGAAATGATGACATGACTGGACATTCACACAGCTAACTGATTAATCAACATCAGCTATACAAACCTAGATAATGTTACCTGAGCTCGGTCTGTCCTGTTAGAATTAGGATACTAACTGTAATTTGCATACACTAGCTGACATAGATAACTACATTAGTAGATAGGTAGCAACATCATCTGCACTGCTGAAAATGAAATGAGCTATGCAAAATTATTACTTATCTAGAAGATACAGAGCAAGGTGAAGCTGCTCTTCCATTCCTTTCAACTTTTTTAGCTCTGTCTATTGTTGGAACGCCACTTCAACGCTCACTCCTGTCTTTGCTGTAGACTTGATTTTCTTTTCTTTTCTTTTCTTGGCTTGTAAGTTGTTACAGGTGGGGTGCAACTTGCAAATTAGGTGTTATTTTCTCTGACATTATTTCTTTGAAGAACTAACTTGCTGTCATAATAGATCTTAACAGAACAGGGTTTTATAGCTCACTGGCTATAAGAATAGGCTGCAGGTCCTTGCTATATGCTGTAGACATGCTACATGACTGACTGGCATATAGGTTTGTTGCTTTGTCCTCATTGGTGGAATGCTTGGTGCACATCATTTGTTTTTTTCTCTCATGTCCATTGCCTGGGCCTGCCACAGAGACCTGATTCTTTTCTCTGAGCATATATTTTACTTACTGCTGGCAGAATGTAAGGAGAACTTTGCAAATGTGTTCTGACTTTAAAATCTGATGATGACTCCACTTTTAAAGGGTCTGTGTTACTGAAAATTTAATTTCCCTCATTTTTCTTTTAAATAAAGGAGTTTGAAGTAATATGTAAACTTTGTTAACATTTCAGAACAAACTATTCACTACCCAGTCCATAATATGGAAACTAAGCTGCGAAAATAGTCTGTTTTGCATTCAATGTTTCAGTGATGTCATTTACACCCACCTATTGCACAGTAACAAAAACAACCTTTTTAAATCTAAGGGATAAAGAATTATGACTATTTTGGTACCTAAAACCACAAAAATGTTATAGGCAGACCTCAAGGGAAAAAACACAATGCAAGAAAAATGGAGAATATGAGCTGTTTCAGACCCTTGTTGGAGTAAACTATGTGAATTGGTATAGCTTCTCCTAATATATATTACACATTTCTTTGTTGTTTTGTTTTATAATTTGTTTGAAGATTAATAAGGTTTCTATCTATTTGTCTCTCCATGCAGAGCAAGAGGGCTGACAGGGTATCTAAAAAGAGTGATATTTCTCATTTAGCCAGAAAACACTTGCCTTACGTTGTTCGGCTTGACTGAGAAATCCTGCTTTGTATAAACATCCCCAAGTTATCAACTGAGCCATAAAAAAGAATAATGAGGAAACTATGAGAAGAACACAAAAAAATGGCGCAAAGTGTTCTCCACATACGCTCACACAAACATAGTTGCCCATGTGGGTGCCTCTGTAGTCACGTGGAGGTGTGAGTGCCCCTCCCTGCTGGGAAAGGTGAGAGGTCTTATTTAAAGTCTCACTGAAACAGCTCCACAAACTCTATTTCAGACTTTACATTCCAGCATGCCATACAAGCCAGGAGTCCATTAGAGGTTTAACAGGAGAAATGTGCATTTGCGTGTTTGCGCATATATGTGTGTGTAAATGGAGTCTGTGGCAAGTATAAATTTCTGCCTCTGGCCACAGTAAGTGCTCCCAGTGAAAGAGGCCTACATCTTTTATAGTGTCTGCATTTAGCCATGCACCTCCACAACCCAATAAACGCACTGTGGAAGCAGAGGAATCAAGCCAAAGTGCTGGCAGCTGATACTCCGGGCTAGGTCAGTTTGTTTTCACAATGGGAGCAGCAAACAGAATCAGTGCAAGACACAGTGTTATCAGTTTAATCATTACACACTTTAACAGGCCCCCTACTGACTCCTGACTCCATTTCTAACCTGCTGCGCAGAAACCTTCTCTCATCCACAACCACACTGTATATTAAAGTTGTAATGAAGGGCCGACCACAGTATCAGAAATAAATTTAAAACTGTATTGTTGATAAATTCCCCTTGGTCTCTATCGAGTCTCCCATTGCCTCTCTCTATGGAAACCACTGCCAGGGGTCAAAACTAGGCATCAGGGTTCAGCCTTTTTTTACAATAAAATATTGAAAATCGAATGGTGACTTCACATACAAACATCTAACGTCATGACCACCCAAACACGCCTCACGTATGGCTCCGGTGGAGTTACCGTGGAACGTAAAGGGCTGAGGCAACAGAGAGAGGACCAACAAGTTCTTTCTCTCCCTCTGGGCTGAAGTTCGTCTCATGGCTGTTGTCAGGCACTTCATGCTGGCTTTTGTGGCTCTTGTCATTGTGTTTGCACATTCTTTCATCAGCATATTTTAGTATGTTAGACAATGACAGGTTACAAGCTTGTTCGTGACATACAAAACTAAGCAGCT